CCAAAACTAATTACATATTCGGGCTCGGGGGTGAATGGGTAAAAAGATTTTGGTCCGAATCTCAATTTTTGACCAAGCGGGCCCGTGGTCGATTTTTCGACTTTTGAAGGAAAAATTAAAAAATTTAATTTAAGCAATATAATTTATTCCTTTAGCAATATTTGATATTATTGAGTCATTTTTGAATAGATACGAGTGGTTTGGAGGTGAATTCCAACGGAAAAGCTGTGATTGAGAATTAAGTGGCTTTCGGAGCGAGGTAAGTGTTGTGTCTAACTCTGACTTGAGGGAATTAGGAACCTTAGATTATTTGCTAATTGAAATTCATGTGAGCGGCGTATTTGTGAGGTGACGAGTACCTATGCGCCGCCAATTTACCTGTTTTTTTTCATGTTTCTCTGTTTTATGATATTATCTCATTCCTATGCCAAATTGCTACGTGTTATACTAGTGTTGTTCAAATTATCGTTCTTATCATGTTTACGGAATTTTTTGGTGATAATTGAGTTTTTATTTCAAGTTGAGATTGAAATTATGGAACCAAATATTGAAGTAAGGTTTGTACTTGTTATTCTATATCCCTGTTGTTATTTATGCATTGCATTATGGTAAGGGAGAGTGTTAATTCACGAAGGGTGATGTCGTGCCATATTGTGAGTGTTAATGCACGAAGGGTGATGTCGTATCATATTGTGAGAGTTAATGCACGAAGAGTGATGTCGTGCCATATTGTGAGTATTAATGCACGAAGGGTGATGTCGTGCCGTATTGTGAGTGTTAATGCATGAAGGGTGATGCCGTGCCATGATATGAGAGTAAAAGCACGAAGGGTGATGTCGTGCCGTTTCTATTAATTTTATGGTGAGATTGAGAGTAAAATCACGAAGGGTGATGCCGTGCATTTTTCTTTACTGTATTCACTATTCCTGTTGATTCATGGTATATGGACTGCTCCGGTGATCATTTTGTTGTAGTTCTTTATCTTGTATTCCCCTTTGTATGTTTCCCATCACGACATTTCCTGTTTAGTTCTTCATTCCTGTTATTTGCGTATATTGTAGGTGCCTTGCCTTAGCCTCGTCACTACTTTGTCGAGGTTAAGCTCGACACTTACTAGTACACGGGGTCGGTTGTACTGATGCTGCACTCTGCACTTTCTGTGTAGATTTTGATACCGGCTCGGGTTGATCGAGATCTTGCTATTGGTCCGTTATCCGGAGACTCAAGGTAGGTCTGTCGGCACACTATTACTTGTAGTAAATTCTAGAATGCTCGTGAATTGTGACTCCAGATCCGGGTGGTAGTAATTAATACAGTTTTTATGATATTTCGCACTTATTATATTTCATTTTAGTTAATTATTGTTACTTAATGAATGAAAATAAGGAATTGGTTTAATGACTCTCTAACGTTGGCTTGCCTGGCAAGTGAAATGTTAGGCGCCATCACGGTCCCGTCGGTGAAAAATTTCGGGTCGTGACTGCACAATGAATCAATTTGAAGAAAGTTGAAACATATGAAAGATTTCAATGATGAGACCATATTATCTAACATGTAACTAAAATATTTAGTCCACAGAAAGATAATATTAGAGAAAACAAGGGAATTTGCATCCAAGACTCTATTATTTTAACTTACAAATATCAGCTTAAACACCATTGAACCAGAGAAATGAGAAACAGATCATTGCTCATTTTGCCAAGGGAGCAGTCATCCGCATGAGTGCACATACAACCAAGAAAGAGAGATAAAATCTCAAGTGCTTTTAATTCTAAGGCAACATGTAATAAGATAATATTGGTGTTGCCTCTAATTCACTATTTTGCGCACCTCAAATGCATCTGACTCGAAGAAGTGTATCTCTGTCTTCTTCGAAAGTTTTCCTCTACCACCTTCGCCAGCTCGTGGAGTGACAAATGACACTCTCATATGTATCATTACACCGTTGTGGTCGAAGAACAGTAATTGTTTCTTACAAAATATTTGTCCCTTGAATTTCCCGATGAAACTTTTTGCAATATCTTGATGAGAAGCCTATAACACCAAAATCGTTAGTTATACTTCATCAACAACAAATAAGAGCAATTAAAGAACAAATCAGATGCAACTATAAAAATAAGAGCAATTAAAGTAAAAATCAGATGCAACTATGATTTACCGTGACACGTCTTCCTCCGGTGTCTTCAACTTCGAGCCCAAGTGTGCTTAATTCCAAATCTGGAGGTGGAGGGATAGTGAACCTACGGAAATATTGTCATTAATTATTGATGGAGCTTTAGATTTCAAACAATAAAATTAAACTCGACTGCTTAAAAGGAAAATGACTATATAGATCTGAAACTCACGATTTCAAACGAACAACTTCTCCATACAACATATCCAAAAAATCTGCGTGGAGATAATTAATAGCAACATGGTTATCTGGAACCGAATTATCCGCTGTAAACTAAAAGTGTTAGGAAAGACGACGTGGATTGTTTGTGCTCTATCTGCATTCTCTTAATCTCCATCATAATATATACTCCTACTAATAAAAGAAGAGCAACAGTAAAGTTTAGCTCAGAGCTTTTGAACTTTCAAGAATAACAATAATAATCCTATTTTGTGAAATGAAAAGTATCTTATCTAGTGAAACATGAACCCCTGCCATTTTGTCCTAGTTCAACAAGCCCAAAGGCAATTTTTTTTTCACCACTGTATTATAACCAATTTTCCCCCAAAGGCCATTTTTTATAGAATAAGACCAGATGTCCCTCTAAAATTCTTTGCATGTTCTTCCAAGTGAGCAATTATATGCTAATAACGAAAGCTTATCTTATGCGCTAAAAAAAAAAGAATTGATACTACACTTGAAGAAATTAAAAAACTACTCCATTATTGGTAAAAATGGCAGCTAGAAAGGGCAAAAGCAATCACAACCCCAATACACAGATAAAGTCATATCAGAATGGGCAATGAATATAAAACATACAGTTTCCAAAAGATCAATATCCACTAAAAAAACCCGAGGATGATTGAGATAATTAAACAAGTCTTATATCGAAAGAATGCAAATAAAAGGAAGAAGAACCTTCTGAGTTATATTTCAACTTTTATATCAATTAACAAAATCAAAAATAGGTACGACGTACGGTGCCAAAACTTCCAGAAGCTTGAAAATCCATTACAACTTAGCTAAAAGAACTTGTAAACGATTTTAAGAGTAATTATTGTACTTTGCGAAGAAAAACATTACACCCTATTTCAAGAGCAAAATAAAATGTGGCACTGATTAATTAGCTCGAGAAGAAAATAACAAGTGTGACAGTGGAGTAATACAAGCACAAATTATCAAATAAAGGGAGTAAATAAATTTGAAAGAATAAATTAAATAGGTAGAGAATATTTTTGAAAGAATAAGCTTAAAAGACAATAAAAAAAAAATATAGAACGATTTTATCCCGGAAACAAAATATAGGGATGAGGAAGCTGAATACGGAACCGTCAGCTTAAGAACCCATGGCAGCAAATCAATAGAAGAAACTAGAGTTTTTTGAAAGAATAAAAACAAAAAAGATGGAGCAGTATACTATACTGAAAAGGCAAATCTAGGTAGAGTAGACTAGTTTCATGGCGGCAGCAGGTAGCAACACGTCAGATCATGAAAAGTGGTGAAATAGTACTTAATAATCATGGCTAAGGCTAATAGAAAAATCAACAGAAACCATATGTACATAATTAAGAAATCTATATCTATAGACAAAGATAATAGGTAGTAGAGTGGAGTATTAATTAAAGGAATGAATAAAATAAAAGGATATCTTATTTGCAGGACCAGCTTGTCATTAATTTGTGCAACGTAGGCAACCTTGTTATCCTTTAAGAATCTCTTCTTCAAGAGCTGAAGAGGGAAAAGTTTTAACGTCTTGCTGTTCACGTAAGCAAAATTCTCATAATGTGGTTCTTTTCTAGAAACTTGAAATGTTATTTGGACATCATTGGGAGAAGAAGCTGTAGGTTGAATCTCTGGAGCTGGAGCTGGAGCTGAAGAAGAAGAAGAAGCTGCCATGCTAGCTGGTAGTGGTGAAGAATGCAAATGGCAAGAAATTAGAAGCGGAATATTATGTTGCTGCTGCACAGCTACTGCGCTCGTATACGGAAGTGGCCGTTTTTCACTACACAGCTAATTGGTTAGCTTATTTTGTTTTATTTGTCTTTTTTACCATTACCATGCTTACATTACCCATCTAATTTTGAGTATTAGAATTATTACTTCCAGCTTTTTTAACGTAAACATATACTCCTCTTTATGCTTATATCTCTAAATTAATGAATTACTAGTATTTAAGATAGGATTAGTAAGTAAATAGTTCCTAAAATTGCACTACTATTTATTAATTGTGGCAGATGAGCTTCATTATTCTGGCTCATTTTCTGATTAAAAAGGCTTCTGTATGTACTAAGGTTACTTGAGAGTATGTTCTTAATCACTGCGTTTTCAAGTCGACAATTTATTTCAATTTTCACCTTAATTTATTGAGGTTAATTGGTCTTTTAATTTCTGCAAGACTCATCTCTTTTCATTTCACTTATGGCGTTAAGCTATTATTTACTCATACAATTAGACTATTATGAAAAGATAACTAAGTGCAATTTAACCTGGAATAAATTAAAAAGTTAGTAACCTATTAAGTACTATATAACAAACTAATAAATCAGATTAATAATGCAAAACAGCGGTCTAAATTTTTTGTATAGTTGTTAAAGAAATTACACACCATAGGTTATTAAATTGTTATAGGTACTCTTAAGTGGAAACCATGAACTAAGAGTAAGGTCCCGTTTAGTCATAAATTTTGGTAATTTTTTTCAATATTTTTTTAAAAAATATTGTTTGTTTATGGAATATGATCAATTTTTGAATAAGAAATTGAAAAAAAAAATCAAGTTCCCAAAATTGATTTAGAACAGTTTTTTGGTGAAACTTTTTCTTCCACTAACAAAAGTTCAACCTTTTTAAAAAATAAAATGCATGTCCAAACCCAACTTCAAATTTTAAAAATTATTTTTTCACACAACTTCAAAAATTCTTTTTTCAAGTTTCAATTAAATCTATATCCAAATGCTAGCTAGGTAACATGGTATAGCAAATTAAAAATTACATTGGTAATGTAAAATAATTTACACTATCATAACATATAATTTACTTAAATTGTTTTGTATTAATCACCTTTTCCCAACTAGTGTATTAATCACCTTTATATACTTCATTATTCAGACGTAAAAAAAATTGTATTAATCACCTCATGAATTTTAAAGTTTTCTTTCTCATTTGGATCTTTAAAAGCTGTGTTCTGAAGTTTCTTTTCTGTTTGCCTCTAGTTGTCAAATTAGCGTGGGTATTCATTAGTTTGAAAGAAGCTAAGGTCTTCTATCGAGTAACTTTCTTTTGGATAGTCATTAAGTTCATAACCATATATAACTTAAATAGTTTGTGTTTAATCCATCCATTTTCCATTTTTTAGCTCCTTTATTATTATTATTATTATTATTATTATTATTATTATTATTATTATTATTATTATTATTATTATTATTATTATATTATTATTTTTTTATTTTTTTTTCTCAATTTCGAAATTAGTCTGTGTAATCGAAGGTGTAAACCGTTTAACTATTTAGTTAAATTGACTAAATTCATTTTAGGCTTCCTGGTCTTATACAATAGTTAGGGAGACACTAGAGGATCAACTTGCTTGGCGTCCAATTGTCTTTGCCTCTTTTTTCCTTTCATTTTTTATTTGGTCTTTGATTTTTCAGAAATTATGGTAAACAACTTTGACGATATTATCTTGGAAATTTTAACTTAGAAATTCTTGTTAAAATTTCCTTATGACAAAATTTTTACTTTGACAAAAATATGTGAATACAAACGAAAATTTATTAACATTAAACAGAAAATGTTAAATACGTTTCAAGATTAGTACTTCCATTATATTACTCTCCCTGTATATATTTCCTTTATACCTTGTGCATGAAGAAGCAGAAGTGAGAATTTCTCAATTGTATTGTTGCAGTACACCACAACCTGCAACCTGGGAAAGGGATTGAGACAAATACTGATTAATTTGTCGTTTTCCTCTTTCTGACATCTTGATCTCCTTTTCTGTCTATTACATTTTTCTTTTACTTTTTAATTTTACCTTTCTGTTTGTCCTTATAACGTGTTAAATTGCCGCACATCGAAACATGCTGTATATGTGTTGCTATTTTTGATAATCACTTCATACATTTAGCCCAAATGAATTGGAAATTTATTTTGACATTCAAAATTTCCCTCCAACCCGTTGTACCGCCGTGCAAACTAATTTACTGTAACGTTACCGGAAATAGGAAAAACGATAAAAGAAAGAGAAAGGTGAAAAATAAGATAAACTTTTGGATAATCATTCGTAGAAAGCAACAGTTGATTTTTTCTACAGCGCCTAAGGACATAGTTGTCTAATCATTCGTAGAAAGCAACAGTTGATTTTTTTTACAGCGCCTAAGGACATAGTTGTCCAATACTTAACAACCCAAATAGGAAATTGCCACGTAGCACATACCATCTAACAACTAATTAAACAACAATAATATAACGATGACTCAAACTTAACACAAAAACAACAATTTATAAACCAGGACCTCCTTCGTTACGGTTACATGCTTGAATTATGGCAAAATTCTCGTTAAAAGTTCCTTATGACAAAGTTTTTTACTTCGAGAAACAAGTTTAGTGAAATTATTTGTCCAAAGTTCATTTTTGGACATTCAGAAGTAATTTTGAAGCCATTTTAATTTGCGCTTGTCAAAATTGGTCCTTTTTTAATAGGATCTATGATCCTTTTAATACCTAAACAAATGAACTTTTCACATATCCCACAGCCCACAGGAGCTTGTTTAATTGGTCCTTGTTTGAAATTTTCATATATTTAGAAAATATATTTAGTAAATACTACTATATTTAAAGAATATTTTTGTTAGAACAGATTTATTGCGAAGCTTCTGTTTGGGCAATCAAAATTTTGGCGCTTCTTTAAGGCACTCTACTAAAATGCTGATCATTTCCGATAGGAACTACTCTACTATAAGCCATTTATTTGCCTAAACTAAATAAACTTCTCATATCTGAATATAAAAGTAAAAGGCAAAATACATAAGTTGGCACCTAAACTATACCTCAAATCCCTGTTACGCACTTTTTGATAACATATATCATATTACACACGCAACCCTTCAAAATTGTGCCTAGTACACACCAATGTTTTCTTGACCAATTTTTGAGAATAAGCGTAGTATCACACACCAATAACGTCATGACACGTGTTAATAATTTTTTTTTAAAAAAAAGATTAAACACTTAAACCAATTTCTCTTTCCTCGTCTCTTTCTCCCTTAGAAGAAAGCCACCCTACTTAAATTCTTCTTTCTTAAAAGACCCACTTTCTTCATCATCTTTGTTCTTCTTTACTATACTATTTCTCCTTACTCTATAAAATTTTCACCATTTTTAGTTTCTAGGTTTTGTTTGTTTTGTTTACTGTGGAATCACCATTGTTACCGATGGGTTTGCCACTGTATCAGTGGCCGAAAAATGGAGGTCATTGTCGTTTGCCTTTTTTTAATCAAACGAGACCAGATTTGAACGAAGAACACCAGCTTGCCGGAAAGATCTGATAGCTCCACCCACGTGGAGAAGATCTGAGCTCGTCGACCATGAACTGATAATGGAATTAACAACCTAGCAATGGAGTTCTCGGCTTGTTGCTTGAGGTCGTTGCCGGCATTACGAGTTATGGTTGACATCATCTTTAAAGAGATGCAAGAGGGAGGAGATGAGGAGGATGCGGTTGTCGCCGGATTCCGGGGACAACAAGGGCTCCAAATGGGGAAAAAGGGCCTGGGTATCTTTTTCTTTTCATTTAATTATTAAATTAACAAAAATAAGGGGACAAATAAGATTTAGAAACATGTGCTTATATAGGGATTTGGACAAATAATGCATTGGTTTGACGTGCTCATATTTTTTGGTTAAATACGCGCGTGCCATCTGGCAAAAATAGTGTGTATTAGGCACAATTTTGAAAAGTTGCCTGTGTAATATGATATATATCCTCAGAAAGTGTCACGACCCAAAATCTCACCCGTCGTGATGGCACCTATCTCGATACTAGGCAAGCCGACACTCTCAATAAACTCCCATACATTTTAAGTTTAAAAAAATATAATGATTAAATTCAGCGGAAGAAAAATCATAAATACTTATATAAACACTCCAAAATCTGGTGTCACTGAGTATATGAGCATCTAATATGAATTAAGTCTGAAAAATACATCTATAATAGTCTGAGACCAAATACAGTAAACAAGGAGATAGGGAAGGAGAGGCAAGGTCAGCGAAATACGGCAGTTACCTTAGAATCTCCGAAAAAGCAACTGCGCAAAAGAATCAACACCCGCTATGCCCGG